TCTTTAGTATCTGTATATCTATATCTGACCATTAGAATCTGTATTTTTCAAATTGTCCTTTTTAACACCGTAGTTTTACAAATTATAGAACAATTAATTACCAGTGTTTTCCAATTTTACTCGGCAGTTCGTTTCGTTGGCTAACATTAGCTAAAGCTAGCGCTACTAGTTAGCTACGCAATGGTTTGTTGCTCTGCTCCGGGTTGCAGCCACAGGTCTTTGCATGAAACGTGCTCGTTCTATCGTTTCCCGGCCAATGTTTTCCAAAGGAGAGTCTGGATTCGTAGCATGAGGTAAGCTGACGTTACATTTGTGTCCATGTCACGGTGAAATTTAAATGATGGGTAGTGACTGTATGGTCGTTTTAGAGATGGCACTGCTGAAAAGACCGCAACATAAGTAAAGATAATGAATACATCCTATTAAAACCTGTGTGGCTTATATGATAAGTCTAATTAGTACAAGCAGCATAATGTTTCACCATGTAATCAGGGAAATCAGTTTGACATATTGAACTAATAACAAATCACCTCTGGCTGGCAGAGAACTCTCTGCTCCATAGATTCTCTTGGACGTCAAATCACATGTACATTTTACATTTATATTCAATGTAATATTCCATCCCTCACATACTTTTGTATATATAATAACTTATATTTTGTTTTTCTTGTTATGCTGCTACAACACAAACATTTCCCAAATTGGGATCAATACAGTAATATCTTATCTTAATTCATTAGAAATATAACTATTATAATTAGTGTAGCAGCTGACACCTATTTTCAATATGGATTAATCTACCTTTATTTCTTTAGTTCAATTTTGATCTATAAAAATGTCAAAATAGTGAAAATGTTCACGAGACAAAGTGCAAGGTTATATCTTTAGATGTTTTTGTTTTAGCCTATGTACTGTATGTCTTACTGCTCTTATATGTGACGGTGTGACTTCCATGAAACTAATATTTTATATCTTCCCAACAGACGAGCTGACAGGAAACCTAACACTCTAACAACCACAACATTGCAAAGGCGAGTAAATGTAAATTAAAAACGATTCACAATTTCTTCTTCTTTCTTGCAGTGAGGTGAAGCTGACCTTGCACTTGGTGCCAGTAAAGATGCTCCTCACGCAGGCTGAATGTTACTCCTTCCTTACTGACACAGAAGCCCTTGATTTACAATGCTTCACCAATTGTCATTTCCCTGGCTCCGTAGGGACACTTTACCTCCAGCACAGCGGAAGACCCTACCAGACCATCTGGAGATGCCCCCAACAATCCTGATTGGGAGAGCCACAAACCTGACTCATGGACCTGCATCTGGGTTGCAGTGGTGAATGCCCTGACGCCCTCACATTCATTCATAGTCCCCCACTGTACAGACAAAACACCATCAAGGGCCTGTTGTTACCCTGGCAATAAGGGAAGCAGTCACACGCTTTGACCTCAGGACAGCTCCAAAGTTGCTGGCAGTCAACCTTCCTTTCCTGAACAAATGCCAGTTTGGGTTGGTTCGCTGACCAGTGGTAGCCACCTGAATTGCCCTCTGTTGCTCCTCAGACAATGCCATGCTTGCCACAATTGTCTCAGGTCCCTGATGCCCAACAGATTTGATAATTTCAGGAACAGTAAGTGTTTCCAAGCTGTAGTGTTCCTCTTCTGGCTCGGGGGAGAGAAGCCAAGAAATTCCTGAGAACCTGCCCCCGAGTCTGTCCCTCAGCCAGTCACGATCTTCGGAGGTGGGCTCTCTTGTCAGCGGGTTGAATTAGTTATTGGTTAGAGGAAATAGCTCCTCCACTGGATGTGTATGTTTAGCTGCCTTTGGCTTCTTCCACTGACAGGGGGTGTCAGTGCAGCTGAAATTGTGGATGGCAAAGATGGCTAATGCGGCTGCATGACTGCATTTCCATTCTCCACGTGGGCATTCACATTTTGTGGAGAGAATTCCCTCTTCTCCTGTAGATACCTGTGGTGGTGGGATTGTTTTATTATTTAAAATATATTTACATTTGTAATGCCTTCCCAATTATCCCTTTAATTGTTTATAGCCTATACAGTATGTTTATTTCATGGATATTTCTGTGTTTTCTGGTGTGTAATATTTGTAATAAAGATTTCATGTGACACATAAAATGGATTTGTTGATGGGAATTAATGTCACTAATGTGAATAAATTAACTCTAGGTTAACGGTACTCTTGCTATCACTACTCACCGACACTATAAACCTTGTCCCTCATGCTAGCCCTGACAACACCGGTAAGCACACCTTCATCTAGGCTGCACTGTTGTACGTGTCCTGACTTGTAGTGGTTGGTTCTCTCTATCTACACTCTTCTTGTCATCTTTGTAAAACGATATCAGACTGGTAATTGACACAGCCATGACTTCTAGTTAAATTCAGTGTGGCTAAAATGAAAAGCTTTGTTAAAATATGCAAGCACGCGGAAGTCAAAGTCAGCTATATTGTCAACAATTCTACATGTGTTATACATCCAGAAATATCGTTTCCCACAGGGTGACATGTATACATAAAACAAAACAAAAAGGGCCTAGATAAACGTGGTATACATTAAACAAACAAAAAATGGCCTATATAACCGGGGTATGCAGTTTAAAATGTTAATAATATATTTAAAGTGTTCAAAGTGCAGTTTCAGTGCAAGTCAGTTGAAACGATCTTAAGTTGGCGTGACGTTGAAGTCGTGCGACCCTGCTGCTGGCTAGCTTGTAATTCGTTTATAGCATAACGTTAGCATTTTGCTTCTGGCGACTAGATTTATGATTCAAACATTATAAAAGTAAGGTTGACATGTGGAGATTATCCGGCTGAACAAAACGTGATCCCTCTCTTAAATGTGTGTCAACCACAGACCTTATTTCGAGCTATTTTCCAAAATCCTATGGAGAAATTGCATTGCGTTTTTGACGAAGGAACCGGAAGAAGTTTACTTCCGGGTTTTAGGACGCGTCACTGCGGTTCTCTATGGGATGTCCTTTCCTCCGGAGCGTCACGTGAAGCGACGTCCGTTTGTGATGACGCTGCACAGCTGATCGTCTGACAGCAGGGCTGCTTCTCAGGTCGATTAAATGAAATCCTTGCTTCCCTCACTTACGTCGTTTCCCTGCCTCTAGTCCCTCCCTCCAGGGAAGCATGGAGGGACGCAAGGAAACCACGAGAAGCAGGGAAATGAGTTTTAAGAGCAATGGGACGTCCTTTCCTCCGGAGCGTCACGTGAAGCGACGTCCGTTTGTGATGACGCTGCACAGCTGATCGTCTGACAGCAGCTCTGGCCCCGTTGTTTCCACACACACCCCTGCCTCTGTTAGCACACATTTACTGACACAAACATTTGTATCATCTGTTGTAGACCCAAATACATTAAATCAAATAAGATCTCATTCTCAAAAAAGATAAACGCCATTCTTAAAATTTATAAACGAACAATAGTTTGATTAATATTGATTAGAGTGCACAATAGAAATAAAATAATTGAGAGAAGAAAAAGAGATATGTTATCTATCAAAACCCAGTTAGATTAACATTCATTGGATTGCACACTTTGTTTGTTTGTTTGGATATGCAGCACATTAACATTTTAATAGCACTTAATGACTGACTGAATGGTAATGACAATAAATGAAAATGTAAAACGAAAAAAGCGATCATGAACATTTTTCCAAAAAATGAATTAAATGATTTTTGACCACTTTGTTGTTCAGATATATATTTGTAACCAAATGAAACATGAATTGAAACAAAACACGGTATAAACTGAGGAGTGACTCCCGTGAGGTTCATGTATTTTCTTCACTCTGCTCTCATGTCAAGAAGCATCAGATCAGTGCATGCACTGCCTCGTCCAATCAGTGAGCGATACACAGTAAGGGGGCGGGGCGAGTATCTGAGGATTCCATCGGAGGATGGTCTGGTGGTTCCTCGGTTATCGCTCCTCCATGATCGCTCCTCGCTCCTCGATCCTCGGTCCTCCGGCAGAAATAAGAGCCATGGGACGGTACTCAAGATGGCGCGGGCAAATCAACTTCCGGTGAGACCGAGGACCGAGGAGCGAGGAAATGAAAATAGTCGACCTGAGAAGCAGCCCAGCTCTGTCCCCGTTATTTCCACACACACCCCCGCCACACATTTACTGCTGACACAAACATTTGTATCATCTGTTGTAGACCACAATAAATAAAATAAAATAAGAACTCGTTCTCAAAAAAGATAAACGCCATTCTTAAAATGTATAAACGAACAATAGTTAGATTAATATTGATTAGAGTGCACAATAGAAATAAAATAATTGAGAGAAGAAAAAGAGATATGTTATCTATCAAAACCCAGTTAGATTAACATTCATTGGATTGCACACTTTGTTTGTTTGTGTGGATATGGAGCACATTAACATTGTAATAGCACTTAATGACTGACTGAATGGAAATGACAATAAATGAAAATGCAAAACGAAAAAAGCGATCATGAAAATGTTTCCAACACATGAATAAAATGATTTTTGACCACTTTGTTGTTCAGATATATCACATATTTGTAACTAAATGATACATGAATTGAAACAAAACACAGTATAAACTGAGGAGTGACTCTCGTGAGTTTCATTTATTTTCTTCACTCCGCTGGGAAACTGCTCTCATGTTAAGAAGCATGAGATCAGTGCATGCACTGCATCGTCCAATCAGTGAGCGATACACAGTAAGGGGGCGGGGCGAGTATCTGAGGATTTCATCGGAGGATGGTCTGGTGGTTCCTCGATTATCGCTCCTCGATCCTCGGTCCTCCGGCAGAAATAAGAGCCATGGGACGGTACTCAAGATGGCGCAGACAAATCAACTTCCGGTGAGACCGAGGAGCGAGGAAATGAAAATAGTCGACCTGAGACAGAGCCCCTAACTTTTGGTTTTCATGCATATTCCCAGTATGCTAACTAAGCAGGCTAATACATGAAATATAAATGTACATTTCTATTGGGATTAGCAGTGGTAAAGGTTGGGCAATTTATTTTACATAATGACAAATGACACAATTTCCTGAATAAAAAACTGTGTTTTATTCTCAAGTGATCTGAAAAGCAGCATTATAAGTGAGACAGACAGCACAGGGACATTATAGATTATTGTTATGAAGCCGTCTGCTCAGCTGGTAGAGGGTCCTCAGAGTCAGAGACAAACTCCAGGTCTGGCTCCTCGGTGATGTTGTTGGTGCTGTCAGAGGGCATGTGGCAGCCCGAATCTCTTGGGCAGTTGTTCAAATCTTCCTTCGTGTTCTCGCCGGAGGTTCCAGCCTCCTGATTGGACTCATCCGCCAAATGATCAGCTGTGAAGCAGAGAAGACAGGTTTGTTGCATGAACTGTCCCATAGTTTAATAGATGAGCAGTTATAGAGTGATGCTGTGCTGACATATTTTTGTCTGATCCGGAAGCTAGCATGGCAATGGCTACCTTGACAAAAACCAATGGTATTTGGCATTGAATTTTGGAATATTGCAAAAAACAAGGTCTACACATGTTTATGAAACTTAGACCTTTTGTCTAATTACCACTTTTATAATAGTAAATGCAAATGCTGGAAGTAAATAGCAAACATTATGCCAAACGATCTATATCATGTTCGCATGACTTCAGGTCAAAGCAGCTAAGCTAAAGGTAGCTAATGTTTGGCATAATGTCATGTTCCTTTCTAGTCAGTTGTTAGCGACCATCTTTTTAAGACACGCAGAAGCCTTTGAAATGCACTAGTGGGGTATTTACTGACATATTTCACGTGGTAGAAGAAAATGTGAACACAGACCTTACTACATGGATCTAGCCAAAAACATGCTCAAAAATCAATCGACTTGATTAGGGAACCCAGAAATGCTAAAATGCTAACTCATTGCCAGGTCTGGGACTCATTCCTGCACAACTATAGTACTCCATTGCATTGAGGCTCAACAGCTCATCTGTCAGCAGCTAATATCCCTGTGTGTCCTGCTCTATTCTCAGTAACACTCTTTAGGGTTATCCTGTTATCTTTAACCTCTTTACCTGTGGCCTGCATATCTCCCAGTGTTCTCTCGAGGAGCAGTATCACCTGTCCCTTTTACTTTGTGAATCTTAAACCTCTGTGAGATTTTTCTGGATTTATCACGTCACAAAATGTGTGTTATGACACCATCTTTGGATGACCTTTTCTGTGTGTCACATTACTCACAGCATGGCTGCTGCAGGGAGCGGACAGCGGCCAGCAGACGATGCCTGAGCTCTGGATCCGTCACATTCAGCTCCGTCAGGTGATGCTCCCTGAACCTCAACAAGTCACCCACTGTTTTGTAACCGTGCTGCTGAAAAGACGAGGAATACACCTGGGGAGGCAAAGGAGAAGACACCACTCAGAAGCTGAAGTATCTGCCTATTAAATGGAAGATGATAGTTACTTCATAATATCTAAAAGACAAATACCTCCATGTTGAGGCACTTTAACACTTCCTGGACAGTTGAGTTCTGTCTCAATTCGTGGGTTTGGGTTTCCTTATGTGCATCAGGACTGTCCTCTGTTAGCACTTCCACATAAATGAACTTGAAATTTCCAATTCTGCCATTCAGCATGCCTGTCCATATTCCCATGGGGGGCTTGGCGATTATGTCAATCACATCTCCCTCCTAAAGATGAAATTGTAATTTAGTTTCATGACATTTATTTGAGCATGTACAAAACACATACATCACATAGACAGAGAAGAGATGCTTTGTACCAGATTAGCTTTAGCTACTGTCCAAATGTGTTCAATGAGCAGCTAAATTGCTGAGCAGATAGCAGCATCTTGGAAAAAGTTAAGTAAAACTGATATGATGAAGAAGCTGTCCATTCATTATTAAGATTCAGACTCACAGAGGCACAGTGGTGCTTTGAGCTAAATGCTAACATCAGCATAATATTGACTTGCTCATAAGGACAATGCTAACATGCTGATGTTTAGCTTGTATTATCACCATATTAGTTCAGTGTATTAGCATCTTAACATTTACTTGTAAGCACTTAACCCAAAGTGAAAAAAAATATATTTTTGGTGTGAACGCAACATCCCAGGAACTATCGAAACTATTTATTGGAAAAGTACGGGAAAAGTACTCCGGTGTGAAAGCGCCTATTGCTATCTCAGCATTATTCAGCATTTGCTTGTACTAACAGACACTTAAGGAAGTTGGCTGTTAATGGTATCGCTATTCAAAATTAGAATCCAAATTTAGATCACAGCTAAAGGGCCCATGTCATGCTTTTCCGGTTATTACCCGTCCCCTTGTGTGTTATGAAGGTTTTTCTGCATGTAAACGATCTGCAGAGTCACAAATCCTCAAAGTACACCCTGTAGGGAGTACAACTCTAACACAGAAAATACCTGTCTATGCTGCCCCAGAACGCCTCATTGGAGATTTATCATTTTCCATTTTTTCTTCCTGAGTAAAGTGATGTAACGGCTCCGTGTGGAGCTCCAACAAGCCGTTTAGGACAGAGAGTGAATACACATGCCAGGGACGTGCACAGACTTTTGGAGGGGCTATTGCTCTAAACTGGAAAAAGGGTCTCCCCCCCGAAAAAAAAACATAAGACCTTTTGAAAATTGTAACTTGTTTTTAATGTAACTGAAACCAAACGATTTTTACATCAACTAAATTGAACAGTAATTCACATCTCATAACAAAATAAGCTATAAGGCGACTACTTGCATTCGGTGACTTGATTTTAAAAATGTTTTGCGGTCCATATCTCATTAAAATATCTAATGTTAGTAGGCTAACTATTAAAGACAAAATGGGGACAATTATGTTCTAATGTAGTTTGACCATTGTAACTGCTGTGCAGGACATACTGATAAAATAGGGCCTCTAATTAATTACCTTAAATAAACTCACTAATTAATTAAACCAATACGCATTATTCTTATTCTTATCATTCTTTATGAGCGCAGTGACGGTAAGGTATCTAATTATTTATTTATTTAGTATTCCATAACTTAGTAACAGTGCTGGTCAAACTAAAGTGGTAGAGACATGGCAGAAATCCTACAATGAAGCGGGACATTGAACTGTTCACCCGTGAGAGGGCGATCAAGAAAAGAGAGCGAGCGGCCCCGTTGAGGGAGTTTACAGATGAAAAGACAGAAGCACAATAACAACAAGTAGGCTATATTTAGGTGTTTTTTGTAAATGACCGACGGTATCAAGAGGAAGTAAAGTACCCTGGTTTGTGATACTCTTAACTGCCATGAGACATCTCAAAATCAAGTTTCCAAAATCCGACACTGAGGTGGTCTTAACGCACCGGCAGATGACAGCGCTGACAAAGTGTGTTTCCCGCAGCAAGACTAATTGTGGGCTTATCATGTTGATTCGGCCACAACAGAAAAAAGAAAAACAAACTCTCACTCTCTCCAGAGGGGCAGGTCAGCCAAAAAGGCCAAACGGGCCGTTGCCCGGGCAACATTAGACCGTACCTGTGCACGTCCCTGACACACACTATACAGAGATGCTGTATGAGAAACCAATGTGATTTTTGAACATTGAACAATGTAAATCTATTCTAGTAGACCTCAACAATGGAATTATGCGTCTGCTCACTACCGTACACATTGAGATGGAAATGGACAAATTGCAAACTAGCATTAGACGATCTAAAAATCAGTGGTTCTATTATACAGTGTTTGTTTTAGCCTAATGTAATTCTAACAACAGTAGCTATAGCCCGCAGATACAAAATTATACACTGTAAAATATTACCATAATTTCAAAATATTTAGCTGTAATTTTACAATAAATGTAATTACTGTTTTACCACTTTACCTGTAATGTTCACAATATAATGCTGTAATTTTTAATTTCACAGTGAAATCAATGCAGGCACAGTTAATTACTGTGAATGTACAGGATAAATTATTACCAGGATTTCACAGCATGTTACTGTATCATTTTATAGTAAAATACTGTATTCCATCCTCCGTGATAAGGTGATAACCATAGACTGTATATAAAGGTGATAACACAACAAATTACGTGAACCGCGCTGCATTGTAGGATCGCAAAATATTTCGAACGGCAAGTAACTGAGTCACTCTGCGCCAATCAAAGACGAGAAGAAGCACCCGTCACTACTCTGATAGGTAATTCAACGCATGTTGTTCCCCTTTACTTAAAGGTGGGGTAGGTAATTTTGGAGAAACCAGCTCGAGTGCGCTAGAAATATACACAGCCAGAAAAAATCTGCCACTTCCTTACAGAGCCCCTCCTCCAACACACAGGAACGCGCACATGACCAATGAAGGCACGAGATAAGTTTGTGCACAGATGGAAGGCTGACAGGCAGGTAGGCCATCCAGTTACTTTAGCCGGGCCGGCTCAGATGATTGGTTGTGCTTTTTACAGCGCCACGGCTTCCACAGATGACATTTTTTTATGGACTTTTGTCAAAGCACTTAAGATATTCATTGCTATCGGGATGTTAAGAGCATTCCATGGAATATAACAAAAAGTGTATCTCAAGCCGGTTTCTCAAACTTACCTACCCCACCTTTAAATGAAAATGTGTGCTTTTATTTAGACTTGCTCCAGTTGTGTTTAATGTGATTGCAGACAGTCTGAAATACCTGGTGTTCAGAGTTCCTGTTAGCCGGTAACGGTCATAGTCCGGTAAAATATGCTGAAGACCGGCAAATCTAAATCTCTCCGGTCAAAATAATTTCCCCTTAGCGCAATATCGCATCAGTTGCGCCACTTATGTGACAGACAAGAACAGTAAATTCTAATGTCTAACATTTAATGTGGAGAAAGAGATGTATCCTCCTGAAGGGGACATTTTAACCCCTCATGTAAACAAATGCATAATGCTGCGCTATACTTTGCCACACCCCGTTGCCAAGCAACGCTTATTGTTTGGTGTCCTTTGATAAGCTGTACTGGTATCATTAGCTAGAACTAGCTAGATCTGATCGATATGGACATAAACGTGAGTGAAGTCTAATCGGACGGGAGAGAGAGATCAGAGATCAGATCAGCTGCTGCTGACGGAGACACGGAGCTCTGCATGATCACCTGCAGCTCTACATGATGCAGCTCTATGATCACCTGCAGCTCTACATCAGGGGTTCCGAATCCCAAAGTAATTTTTTTTAAATTATTATTAATCATAACAACGTGTGCATAGAAATGTTTTCATTTCCTCGCAGCGAGTCTCCACCCGTTGATAATCCACTAGCCCAGTGTTTCTCAAACTTTTCATTCCAAGGACCACTTAACCAATACAAAAACACTCACGGACCACCGAACTCCACAAATATCCAAAAAGAATAGGCCTGCTTACCACTCCAACAGTAGGCTACATAACAGCCTAATAATGACAGCTTATCCTTCTCTATATCGCCTCGTTCACACAATAAATCAACAATACAAATACAACTACAGATTATATAAGCATTTAGTTCAAATGCGATTTAAAATGCTCACAGGTTTTACACCTCTTATGAAATGTAGACTACATTTATTACGGAGATTATGTCCGAGCCAACAGACTCACAGATCGTATTGGCTACTGAGAGAAATGCAAAATACACCGCATGTGGTACGACACAAACCTCCGCTGTGGATTTTCAAAACAAAATACAGTAAAACTATGGTTGCAGGCCCAAGTTTAACTCTCTGAGGTCTAAGCAATTTTTTCACATATTAGGCTCGCCTGGGCTTTTTTTGTAAAAATGCTATTAAAACATGGACCTTGGTGACCATCGGGCTGGCCTGCATGGTCTGCCTACAAAACAAAAATTAAAAAACGTTTTTGCAGCCCCAACAACAGCCTCTGATCATCAACAGACTTCATGCAATGCTTCATTGGATGTGTGGTGATTGACATTATTCACCCACGGATCTATGGGTTTGGGTATTGTTCCGCACAGACATTTTAGTGAACCGGACTTCCTGTTTCCGCCGGTATTCGCTTCCCGGGCATGAAGTTGTTTACATGTGTGTTCAGATCATAGGTTCAGATGCTAAATGAAAGTCTAACTTGTACCTTCGATACCCCGCCTCCGAGTCTCGGCACTACAGATGCATATATTATAATCTCTATCTCACTCCTAAAACATCTAAATCTACTTTCAGCATGGATAAATGTTCATAAAATACGTCCATTGTTTGTTCTATATGCTTCTTGAAATCCTAAAAAACACATCGTTTTTCTAGAACAGATTACAAATCGCCAGAAAATGTTACAAACAAGTGGCTACATGTGTGACGAAGGTGTTGCGCTGGGCTATATCATGCAATCTACAGAAACTTAAGCTCGCTCCATTGCGGAGATATTCCCGCGAGGGTGCGGAAAACTTTAATTAATTAATTTGAAAGGGGTCGCCAGTCTCTGGCACTGTTATTTTGGGGGTCGCGGGCTGAAAAGTTTGGGAACCCCTGCTCTACATGATGCAGCTCTACATTATGCAGCTCTGTCCGCTGTGACGGACTGGTGAGCGGAGCAAAACACACACTTCAAGTTAGAACTAACACACTTAGCTATTTTATCTACCTCTGGAACAACCTAAACTAGTAAGAGTGCCACAGTGACGCGTCCTAAAAGTAAAAAAAGTAAGCTTCTTCCGGTTCCCTCGACAAAAAAGCAATGCAATTTCTCCATAGGATTTTGGAAAATACCTCGAAATAAGGTCTGTGGTTGACACACATTGAAGAGACGGATCACGTTTTGTTCAGTCGGATAATATCCACATGTCTACCCTACTTTTATATTTTTCGAATCATAAATCTATCGATTATATTTAGTTAATCTACTATAATTAGTTTGTTTAATATAGAGTCGTTATCAATTTCTTTTAAAACTCAATAAATAACTAAGAAGACCTTTGACAGGCACTTTTCTGATTTTGTCCGGAAGATTTAAACTTTAACGGACATGTTGACCGGCAAAAATAAATTGTAACGGAAACTCTGCTGGTGTTGTCTGTTGCACTGACTGCGACATTATTGTCCCTGATATTTTTTTCTTCTAACATTTGAAATGTGTATATGTTAATGTGTTTTTTCTCTGATCCCAGGTTTCACATTGCTGTGTTGCGACCAATTTGAGACGCATGCAAAACCAAAGGCTGCCCCCGTCCAAAGAAGAGAGGTAAACGTTGTTAGAAAAAAGGTGCAGGTTTTACTTAAATTGAAAGGGGCGCAGCTGCATGTGCCTTAAAAAATAAACGATGCAACATATAAATCTATGTAAAATGTAAAGTTATTGTCTTGGCTTATTGTTGTCAGGTGCTTCCTGGGCATTAACCCTGAGACGGGCTCGAAAGCCAAGAAGAAGCATGGCGTTTTAAACCCCCATGTCAGCACATTCTTTAGAAAACTCCTTGACTTCGAGTGGATGTCTATGTAGACATGTCCAGGACTAAAGTAAGACACTCACAGTCTGTAGAAAGTGTAATATGAAATGTACTTTGCACTTGAATGGAGGAATACAAAGTTAAAATGGGTATTTTCTTTGTTTTTCTTTGTTGATTGAGCAGATTCAATTGTGTATGGTAAAATCCCAGTTAACTAGTCACATTTACAATATATTATAGTATTATTTAAATTTTTATATTTACAGTAGATTACTGGCATCTGTGTTGCATTACTTCTACAGTAAAAGTGTGAAAATACAGGTAATTACTGTAATTTATGTACAGCAAGGTACCATAATACCACAGCTCTGTACTGCGATACCACAGTACTTCCATGGGCATGGCAACTGTAAAGTCACAGTATGTAGTTGTACTTTTATTCTAATTTACTGCAAAATATCTACAGTAAATTACTGTGAAATCCATGCAACTAGTAGCCAGTAATTTACTGTAAATGTACAGCCAAAAATGTTACAGTGTAGTGATACAGTTCTATAGTTGGTTAACTTCATTGATATTCATTCATTTATTTTTTAGACTTCTTTACCTTGAGTTTGAGAGATTCCGTGTCATATGGGCTTGGAACAAAGTCTGTATGGACTTCAGCTCGCCCACAGAACTGTCTTGTGCACAACAGATCGTCCTCCAGCCTCAGACTGTCTCTGTTACTGGAGCAGTCTGACCCACTGGTGACTCCACCTGGAAACCAAGAGGGAAAACAGAAGGGTTTAATAAAGGGCAATGTAGTCACTGCATTCGCTTTAACAGTTTTATACTCCAGTTCTTAAAGATGTGATTGATAAAACAGGCGAGTCGAAAATTGTGTCTTTATATTTGTTTGGTATGTGTAGCTCAAATTAGTGCGTCCAAAATAAATAACAGGATACCCGGTAGTGCAAGCAAGGGTTGCATAATACATCAGGTTGTAGTGTGAAGTGCATTACGCTCTGTGCTTGAGGCTCTTACTTGAGGAGCTTTGTCCACTGTGGAGGCTGTACAGGCTCTCCAGAGAGTTTCTGGAACGCCTGTGTGCTTTACGAGAGGATCGCCCAACTCCAACTTTCCTCTTCTCCGCTTCATCTCTCTGTTTGTTTCCAGTCTATGCAGTAAAAACACCAAGGCACATTGTTATTCTGCTTGATATCATTTTGGATCCCTGCAATTTGTTTTACTTCACCATAATCAAACAAGAAACTGCAACCAACCAGAGTAAAGACCCTAACGTGCTGTTTGATTCCTCATGTGACGGAACAGTTCTATATTCAGTTTACACTGGGACAAGCAGCTCCTCTGGCAAGCAAAAATAGTTAATCCTGCAAGAGTTTCCTTTCTTTTTATAGCTGAGGAGGTGTGTAGCGAGCTTAATCCTCAACGACCTGGACTCAGCTTTTAACTTCCTCTTCAGGGACTTCCACAACATGCAACATATTTATGGAAATTCCATCTCTAGCCAGCATGTCCACCATAAAAAAGTATTTTAAACCTACAAATATCACAACCTGTACAACCTGTATGCATGCATGTACTGTATGGACTTTGTGTTGAGGGACAAGAATTCCTATAACATCCTTACATCATCATGTATAAGCTATGATCGCTTAAGCATGTGTTTCATCATACATACATTGCATGGATGACAGGATCAAATTTACATTAAAACATTGACATTTTCATTAAAAGTGTTGAATATGCATTAGGTTATCCAAAAATATACCTTGGTATTATATTAATTTGTTTGTACTGTCTCAGTGCGTGTCTCTGTCCCTCTTCTGCAGCATCATTCCCTTTTCTTTAGGCCCATAATTGCCATTGTTATCCATCCAGAAAATGCCCGTCGAACTCACACTCCTTTCCCCATCACCTGCAGCGCCACCGATCTCAACTGTTTCCCCACCCTCATATGTTCTTCCTGGCTGCCCATGCACACCCCACCTCCTCAATCTCATCCCCTACCCACATATAACGGCCCAATTTCCTTCATTCCCTGATCCAGACAATCAAAGTTACCATATGCTACCTGTCTGTCTGTCTGCCTGTCTGTACTTTCCCCTGCTCTTTTCGTGCTATTCTACTATTCTACCAATTCTACCAATTCTACCAATTCTACCAATACTATTCTACCAATTAATGTTTGGACTAGCTACCCATCACCATGAGCTTTTGTATCTTTTTAAATGAATCACTGAACTGTCCCTTGGCTCTTATTTTGTCGCCCTGTAGGCTGTGTGCTTGTGTTTTTAACATATTTAAAGCTTGTCAGTCTTTGCTCCCACTCAAAGTGCTTTGACTTTTACACAAGTTATCATTCATTATACATTAGGCGCGTTCACACCGGAGTACTTTTCCCCGTACTTTTCCTGTTTGGTTCCATTAGTACCCCTTATGTCGCGTTCACACCAAAAAGAGTACTTAGTGCCGGGAACTTTTACCCCCATTTTTAGTGCCTGCTGAGAGGGGGTACTCTCCTGGGGGAAAAAAGTGCCTCAGTTCTGATTGGCTGGGCGAATTGCAAACCACGCCCCGTAAAACTCTGAAATGTTTTTTAGAGCCGCCATTTTATAATCCTCACATTTGCATTATTAGCATTAGCATTAGCCCAGCGCACAAACGCAGAGAGACTAACTTAGGGCAACACAAAAGAAAACATGGGAGCGGTGGAGATGAGGAGGTGTCGGCGTTCTGGCGATTTACTCGGAAGGCTTCAGCCAGTCCCCAACTCCGGGGACTTCCGGCCAGGGACTTCGGGTGGCAGTATACGCCGTGAAGTTGTTTGCGGCCTGCAAGTAAACCCAAAGCAGAAGAAGACGAAGTGACGTCAGCGGCTCATTTGCGTAATCTTCCCTCTGGAAACTTATTCCGGTGTGAACGCGATCTGCTCTTAGTTCCATAGGGGAACTAAGTGCTGGGAACTAAGTACGGCAAAGTACTTGGTGTGAACGAGGCTATTATACAGGTGCAGAGGGTACTATATTAGAAGGAAACATCCACACCTACTCACTCACCGATTTAAGGAGTAATTTGGGTTTCAGGGATCCTTCTGAAGGGGATCGAACCACCAACCCTGCTATTGGTGGACGATCACTCCAGCAGCTGTTTATCAACCACATACAATGGCACAACATCCATATGCATGTTGAATGTGTCACTAGCTGCTGGACTTTTCTTTGTTAATTTTAGCACCCTGTCTGTAAAATGGTCAACGATAGCTTGAGTGGTAGTTTGCAGTCTGGCAGAGCAGGTGTTGTGCTGACAGCTGTGTCTGCCTGCAGATGTTTTTCTATTGGGTGTCAACTGCAGTGAATGCAGGGTGCCTCTAAAGTGGTTATATTAACATAAGCTTTGTAGATGGCATGACATACAGAGACGGCTGCCAGCTTCTTCTCAGGTGAGGTCTTCACATGCTTCCAGTCTGATGAGGTCTCCCCCTGCTTTAAAAACAAAACACTGTAAATAGAGATCCTTCACATCTTACTTATAACCAAACTGGCAGATTTTGCGTAAGATGGTTCTCTTACCAAAGCACTTTCATTATCCTGGGGTTTCATTACAGGAGAGGGCTGTCTGAAGGCGTCAAATCTCCCGAACCTGCTCAACTGTTTGGGTGAAAGAGATTAAAATGAGTGTTCTCTGGGGACAGATGGGCACATTATCTGAGTGTGTGTTCATGTGTGTATTATCCCCAACAAAAAACTGTTTGTTTTTATCCCCTGTTTCTGATTTGTTTTCTGAATTAGGTTAAACCCTGGCAGCCATACAGTTCCTAGATATGTCTTTTTTATTTCCTAGGTCTTGTATTTGACTGATCACATTGAGTGGATCGTGTACTGTTTAATCTGTAATGTTAACAAATATTTCAGTATCATGTGGGCAGAAGTTCACTGTTGTTTTTGTTATTGTGTATCAACCTTAGATTTTATAACAGTTTAGCGGTCATTCAGCGCTGTCCTCAGAACAGCTGTTACACTGACTCTTGGCACATTCCCAACACTGACCGTTAGTGAAGTGACGCCTCACTGTCACGCACTAATAGGTTGGATAAGCATAAATAAATTAGCTTTGCCCTTTGATACAATTTACAAACATGTTATGAAGTGTATTTTCTCCTATTGACAATTGTGAAAAACTCATTTATACAAATTATGGGTATCTCAGTGAAACATTCAATATTGTGCTTCAGCAATTCACTTTTGTATTTTTGATATTTTCACTACAAGTACTAGAGAAATAGAAACAAAATTGCACACTCTTGCAAGCCGAGATGCTCATGTGATGACAGGGTCATCATACATCTCCACCCTGGTTAAGAAAGCTTGGAACCAGCTCTTTTTAATATTGAAACTAAAGCAGAGAGCTTTATCATTTTAAAAGGGTCCATAACTTGTGGTTTAAGATTAATCCAGCTCTTTTTTTACACGTCTTTCAAATATTGGGTGCCAAAAAACACGTTGAAACAGTGGTGTTTGCTTCCTTTTAGCTTCAGTAGCAAATCTCTTCTCTCTATGCTCCTTGAAAGGCATTTTAGAATTTTGGACAAATAACTAGATTGAGCACTCGCTATCCTTGTCACAAGCCAGAATAGCGAGTAGACAAGAAGGCATAAAATGGTTAACGTCAGGTCAGAAACCAAAGCGGACGCTCTTTCGTTCCTGGTTTCTAACATTTCAGCCCTTATCCCTAGTGTTTATTTTTTCCTCAATGTTTAGGTCCAGTCTGCTGTTCTCTATAACTTCCCATACACTTGTGTTAACCACAGACCTTATTTCAGGCATATACCCAAAACACACAAATAAAGCACAACTTTAAGACAAGGGAACAGGAAGTGCTAAATAGCTAACTAATGTTTGGGTTTTTTGACTCCCACATCTCTCTTACTAACGTTCCTTCAATATACTAAGTCACTTATATATCTATATGTACTTTAGTGTATCCGTATTGGTTTGCAGAAACCTACATTTTTGAGAGACATATATGAAAGTCAATGTTTTCATCTTACTCTCTGCCACTAGACATAAAGTTACATTAAGCCCATCTTATTTTCTGACGATGATAGCACCATGGTTTCTCTTACTGTGTCCTGTGAGAGCTGCAGGTCTGTGATGGAGAGGGTCATTTCTGGAGGACACAGATCAGACTGTTTGCTGTCCAGTTCCTGTATTAAACTCTCAAAACGATCCCATTGTGTGGAGCCGTGTGGCGTCAGGGTGCCCCCGCAGACCAGCAGCTCATGTCCTGGTTGGTGGCATGTGTGGTGGAGGGGGGTCCAGGGCTGAGAACACTCAAAGGGGTTCCACAGATCATTCCCAGTTTGTGGGCTCCAACCTCCTTCCTCCTCTGAATCGACATGGTTGTCTTTGGCCGTGTGGTTGTGCTGTGGTGATGGAGCAGGAGGAGGCTTCTTCTCTGTTCTCTTCCTCAGGCCGATGCAGCTCAGCACTGGATTGTTGTTACCAAACTCAGCTGTTAAATGAACTGACAGTGGTGGAACAAGTATTCAGATGCTTTACTTGAGTAAAAGTACCAATACATTATGTCAAAATACTTAATTAAAAGTACAAGTCCTGCATTCAAAAATCTTACTTAAGTCAGAGAGTACAAAAGTATCATCAGCAAAATGTACTTAAAGTATAAAAAGTCAAAGTAATCACAGTGCAGAACATTTGCCTTTATGTGCATAAAAACTGAAAAAGCTGAACCGTTGGCTTTAATTAAATGTATTATGTCAACACATTTCACATAACTGTATTAGGTAGTTGAAAGCAATAATATTAAGTTTAAATAAAAAACATTAGGTGCAACTTAATATTATTGCTTTCAACTAACCAATACAGTTATATGAAATGTGTTGACATAATACATTTATTAAAGTCAACATTTTAGTTCTTTCAGTGTATAATTATATGTATGTGTGACAGATAATATTGTTGCATCAAGTAGCATTTTACTGATTTGACTAACTTTTTGTAAAATATGCAAATAATGGGACTCTTGTGACTTGAGTCAGGACAATAGTTACATTTTTAGAGATGCATTTGGTTAGAAGTAGCTATAGCTGTAATGGAGTACAATTACATTATTTCCCTTTTAAATGTAGTGGAGTAGAAGCAAAAAGTCAGGTTAAATGGAAGTCTCAAGTAAAGTACAAGTACCTCAAAATGTTACTTAAGTACAGTACTTGAGTAAATGCTTTCTCAATGCTCTCACTTAGTTACTTCCCACCTCTGCAGATGAACAGAAATTATTGGTAATGATAACAGCTTCTTGAACAAGTTGTCATCCACAAACACTCACCATTGTTCTCAGAGGTCCTCTTCTCTGCTGCAGCTCCCCTCTGATGTCCCTTCTTTGTGTGCAGCAGGTGGAGGTTCTTCAGCCTCTTTAGGCTCCCTGTGGAGCATATTGATTCTGCTGTGTCAGCCGTTTCAGCGCCCTGTAATAAAGTGCAGGAATATATTAGAGGAATGTTATAAAGATCCTCAGGGCCTATACGGGTTCAAACTAGCTCCACCTTAACAACAGCCTGTATAACAATCTAATAGTATTATATACTATTACATAATCCACAAAGGATATTTTAATGCTGAGTGAGTACCTTTAAGACACTTGAAGTTTGTTTGGCTGGTGATCATTTTGTACTTATATATAATATATTCTTTATGCAGTGACACCAATCTTAAAGTGATTATTATTAAAAGAAATATATAGAGGGTTACATTACGCTGCGGACATGTCCATACCACTTTATGAAAGATGCAGATTTTTAAGATATTACTTTTTTACAATACAATTAATAATAATTTGCCTAAATAAAAGCTTGCACCAAGAAATGTTAATTAGGTTTATTTGCAAAGTGAAAAAACATAAAATGCAATGTAAATATAGAATATACTACTGTGCATTGTCATCAAAGAAAAATCCCCCTGAGGTTACTCATTACTTAATGACCAAAACATCATGCATTTACTGAACAGTAACATTTAGCATTTCTTTAAATAGTTTATTTTTCCCCCCAATCTCTGTAATTATCATCTCTGCCCCCCCTTTCAATTGTCTAAACGTGTATATGTTGAAAACCATAACAAAAATGTCTGAACCCCCTACATCCCCAACACTTTCCAACACAAAGTGAAGCTCTTGGAGGTCTACCTCTAACATGGAGTCTGTGGTCTACTCTCTACTGTATTCCCCATAATGGGCTCTACTGGAGGGTTAAAGCCGCTCTTAGGAGAAAGTCATGTGGTTTCACCTGAGCTGGTAGATCTGTCCGTGTCCTGTCATCTCTCGTCAGCCTGCTGTTCTGACACGGAGCTTTACACATCTCTGCAGGATCAATGCACACAGGCCACACAATGATTAACATCTTACTTATTCACACACTGTACTGTCAAATATGTCATTAGCATGAATCTATGATATGAGGTATATAACGCCAGCTAGTCTTACTGTAAACATTATATTTTTTGCATCTGATGTCCTTAAGCTGACATGCACTGATAAGTTCTCTGATGTTCTACACATTCTTCTTTCATCTAATAGTATGAGTACTTTTAAGTTGCCCAGGTAAAGCCTGTCTTTACCTTTGCTTTGATGACATAAGTCCTGTCTGTGGCCTGATGACATCCAGCAGGCACGGTCAATGTCTGTAGACAAGGTAAAGGGAAAAGAGGACATTGTAAATATAAAATATAACTTCATTTCTATTAAGAAAAAGACAACCAAGCACATCAGTGGTTAATTTGTACCAACCTAATGTTTCATTGTCCAAGTGTGATGTTGGCACATGTGACCTGAAATGACAAATGATAATGATTTTATTTTCCTAGGTTATTTAAATGAGTTAAATAGGAAATGAAACTATAGAAAATGCAATGGAATCATGGATTAATTTTCAAGCAATGCCCTTTAAAAATATCAATCAATCAATGTTTATTTATATAGCCCAATATCACAAATGTTACATTTGTCTCAGTGGTCTTCACAGTGTGTACAGAATATCAGTATGAGAAAAAGGACACCCTCTGTCCTTAGACCCTCACATCGTACAAGGAAAAACTTCCAGAGAAAACCCACAGATTAAAGGGAACATGGGAGAAACCTCAGGGAGAGCAACATAGGAGGGATCCCTCTCCCAGGACGGACAGACGTGCAATAGATGCCGTGTGTAAATTGAAAAGATAATACATTTGCAACATAGGTAGTCCAAATGTTTGGAAATGCATGTGTGTAAATAATGACAATACAAATGCAAAAAGAGCTTACAAAACTCACGTACCTATTATTCCTCTTTACTTTGACTGTAGTCTGTGGTCGGTCCTTGGGGTGGAATACAGACAGACACAACATTAGGTAAATCAGAAAGACAATAAATATGTAGAAATAACATATAATGTACTGGTATTCAGCCAACTGCAACACTTTGGTCCACACTGAAATGTCTCAAACTATTGGATGCATAGGCATGACATTTAGTACAGAAATTGACAGGAAGCATTTGGTGATCACCTGAATTTTTACAAGACATCACCAGCAGGTAAACACTTTCAATTATGCTGCGAAATATCTCAACTAATACAAGACAATGAATCCTAAAGACTTTAGTAATTATCTGTCCTTAAGGGACACCCCAAGGTTCACATTTGGGACTTTGTTGGATCGATAACCATTAAATCGCAAAGTCTCAGTTAAGATGATTTAGGGTTAAACCCTTTTCATTCAGTAACATCATCAGGGTAAAACCTAGATGTATTAGATACGTCTGGTACTTTGATTATGACCAAATAGTACAATACTCATGATATTTTCATCGCTGTCAACTGATTTGTGTATTTAGTGCTAATAAGGAAGTGCCTTAAGACTCTTAATATTCTTTCCTTTGCAATACCCTGCATCAGCTGTGCAACAGTGAGCATGCCCAATCACCAGCGGCTCTTTGGGGTTCCAGAAGATTACCGTGGCTGTATCACTGTCACTCTTTGTTTGTATAGTGAACTAAAGTCTCCTTTGTGGTTTTTAATTGGTTTGAATGTTCAGAAAATGTCCACTCTGTGACCCATTTGTTTGATCAGGTCATGGTGTGAATAAAACATAAAGATGATAACTCACAGAACTGATGGATGGATCTGAGCCCCCCCACTCAGGCCTCTGGAGAGAGGGGCTGCACTGGTGCTTTGGGAGCACTTCCTTACGTGTCTGCCTGTAGGGTGCTTCATATATGCTATCTGACGAGCCCTCCTGGGAAATAAAAACAGTCGGCATGGTGACAGCAGCCAGATTGAATGACTAAAGCACACTGAATGGTTACGTTTGAAGAGAGACTAAGGATAATCCAGATGTTGAGGCTCATCAAAAAGGAATTGTCAGGAATCAATCATCAGTCTGACTGAATAATACAAAATCAATGAAAAGCTTTATATCAGGGAGAGATGTGTCCTGTCAAATAATGGTCTGGCATTTACACTGGAGTAATCATTGTTAGCTTCTCAATAAAACACATACAATCAAAACTCATCACACACACGTTTACTTTTTGTTTTTCTATTCCTCAGCCTTATGGTAGTGGAGGTTTAAAACCAAAATATGCTCATAAGGGTTCAAATCAAACAAAGAACGAAGCACCATTTGGCGTGGAGTGTTAAATGTTTTCACGTGTAGGGGAGAGGGGTAAGATGAGCCGGTGGGTAAGTTGACCAACACCCTTTATCTATTGAACTGTACATATTTGTTGTCAGGTGACCCTAAATAAAGGAAGCACCCATCATTTCTACTTGGCTGTGAAGGAGAGAAGCACATGGAGAAGTGGTAAATGTGTTTTCTTTCACAATAACCCATGTTGTGCTTGTCAAAGTACATTTTCAATATGTCAGGTATAATTTGAACAAGCTGTAAAACGATGTGAATCATTCAGCTAAAGATTAGCATGAATGGCTAAGCTAGGCCGTTTTTTTCAAAAAAAGTGGCTGTGGGGTAAATTGAACCCCCCAAGATGGATCAATTTACCCCTTGAGATGGGGCAAGTCTTAGAAAGTCATAATTTCATGACCCTTTGTGATAGATGCATACTTATTGTTTAAATTGATAGAAGACATCCTGATGTAAAGGTTGTTGTTGTCATTTGACTTATATCTATGGGATCAGTGACGTCTCAACAGCCACTATATTATTTACAAAGCAGGGTGGGATTTATGAGTAAGGAGCTCAGTCAGCCAATCATCTAATCATCTTCATCACTAGAAAGTTTACTGCAATGCTTGACTTTGTGATCTTCCCTGTTAGGCCCCGAGCCTGTTTTTCAGGTCTCAGGCTCGAACATTCCCAGAACCAATTACCATATCTTCCCTTCTAAAAGGGTTAAATGAATAATCTTTTTTCTCAAAGCAAGGTTACACCTGTGAGTTGGATGTAGAAGTGTCAGAATCAATATAGATGTTTTTATTTTAAAGTAAATTCAGATTGAACACGGTAAAAAAAAAAATTAAATTATTCTGTCCGTCCAAAAAAAAAAAATTACTTATAGTAAAAACCACCCTTGAATGATGGGATGGTAGACTAAAAGCTTTAGGAATCCAAACAACATATAATAAGTACACTGTATCAAGATTGATGCAAAACAAGTGAAATTTGACCTTTTTAGAGAGATTTAGCAAAAAAAAAACACTTCTGGGGTCATTTGGGTGGATTTGACCTATCTCTGGCCCCCCTTGCTCGATTTTGCTGATTGACATCTCTTTCTAACCGTCAGAGCCAATGGAATCGAGGGGAACTCCCACATACTCCCACATACTCATACTCATGTGAGACTCATGTGAGACTGACACATAGCCAAAACCGGAAGCTGCGATAACTCTGGTGGCTACCATTAGCAGCTAACTTTTACTCTACGATTTTTACATAAAAATTGAATTATGGGTTATAAATAAAACATTATCAACCTATGGATTAACCGATTCAGCCGCGTTTTTTCTCGTTTTAATGCCATTGAACATGTCTTTTGATCAGATTGACAGCTACGGTGAGACGATCTTCCGTAAAAGCTACGTAAAGGTACGTGTTGTGATGTCTGTGTTTGCTTCCCCTGTCGCGAGTTCGGATCACTCAGTGATGATACTATATACCTAAATAATCTGTGGAACCTCAGCTTTAATCGGATATCTTGTATGTGCAGCTACGATAAATAATAAGGGTATCTTTTATCTTGAGTTCTGTGCCAAAGTGCGTTAGCATTTTTCGCTCAGGGGTCATTTAGATGCTTCTTATGAGACTTGTGTTTTGGTAAAAATGGTTTGTATCGTCAGTTAGCTGAGATTATTCCCGTTAATCTGGTATAACAAATTAATAGGTTCTTAAATATGAAGATCCCCTGAGACACAGTGTCGTGAAAAAAAAAAAGGCTTTGGGGCTTATAGCTTTAAATAAACTGGAGATTGTGTAAAATGGAGCAACACGTGTACGTACATAGGCTACTGCCTTTGAGTTTTAGAACATATTTTAAGATCCTTTTTAGTGTTCAAATCACTCCATGGACTAGCACCTGAATGCTGACATTTCCAGTGTGAGGACGAAAACATATTGAGTGTCTTTGCTCTCGCCTTTGGAATGGACCACCAGCAGAGCTGAAGACATCACAATCTGTAAATACTTTTAATTCAATTCTTAAAATGAGTGACTGTGGCTGTATGCAGTTGTCTTCCAATCAGCTGGGTTTTATCCCAGACTCTGCAGTCAACAACATGTGAATGTATTGGGTCTAAAGAAGACCACATTGCTCCCGATGGCATGGGGGGGTTAGGGTTGGGCCAACGGTGTCTAGATGTCAGTCTTCTTGAGATGCTGGCACATTGCATGGCAGCCCCTGTTTCTGTGTGCATATGTGAATCTATGAATTCTGACTTTTAAATGTAAAGTAATTTGAGAGGTCATAAAGACTGGAAAAGTGCCATATAAATGCAGTCAATTTTCCATTTTTTGCTAATGTATTTTCACATAAGCATTTTATTCACCTTAATTCTTAATAATAACAAAAGGAATTTAAATATTTTTAATATACCCTCCTTTTTAAATGTCTTCTTATTTTCAACATAAAATATCAACATGATACTGTATATACTACTCATAACATTTAGATTAACATTAAAGGTGGGGTAGGTACGCTTGAGAAACCGGCTCGAGATACACTTTTTGTTATATTCCATGGAATGCTCTTAACATCCTGATAGCAATTAATATCTTAAGTGCTTTGACAAAAAATCCATAGAAAAATGTCATCTGTGGAAGCCATGACGCTGTAAAAAGCACGACTAATCATCTGAGCCGGCCCGGCTAAAGTAACTGGATGGCCTACCTGCCTGTCAGCCTTCCATCTGTGCACAAACTTATCTCGTGCCCTCATTGGTCATGTGCGCGTTTGTGTGTGTTGGAGGAGGGCCTCTGTAAGGAAGTGGCAGATTTCTTCCGGCTGTGTATTTTCAAATTCTAGCAGACTCGAGCTGGTTTCTCCAAAATTACCTACCCCACCTTTAACTTATAGAGTCTTTTAGTTGTCACCAATGTGATCTATAAACCCAATCTGTCATGGTGTGTTTATGTAAAGCTGTTGTGTTATCAGAGATTTTAGTCCAAGAGGCTGATTATATTCTGTGCTGTGTGTGTTGCCAAATTCAGGATTTTACCTGACAGTAAAGCCCTGAGTCGTGCTTTGAGTGGAAGAGGAGTCAGCGCAGGCCCGCCCCTCCTTACACGCAGATCACGCAGACTGCGTGGGGCCTCATCTTACCTGATCTATCAAGATCACAAAAATGAACGACCACTAAAAACTCTTTACATATACAAGTCAACCTTCACCCATTCAGGTTGCCATGCAAGCTTCCACCTGCTCAGGGAGACAAACACACACGCACACACACAAGCACACAGCGAGACGAGAGGACAGCAGGAGAGAGGACAGAGACTGACGAGGGCCCAGCGAGACCCGAGGCGAGGACGCAGAGAAATGAGGGCTCAGCGTGGCGTTGGAGAACAACAGGACCCTGGGAAAGAGCCTGAGACACACACACACACACACACACACACACACACACACACACACACACACACACACACACACACACACACACACACACACACACACACACACACACACACACACACACACACAGACACACACAGACACACACACACACTGTTGGCCATGCCATCAATTTGGAGTTAAGTATTTTGACCAAGGATACATCAACATGCACTGTAGAGGCTGGGATCAAACCCACAACCTTACGACCACACCTCAGAGTCACAGTGACCAATGGCCAAAACATTTTCAATAACACTCATTACTTCTGTAATAATCCAATAAATAAATCTTCATTCCACCATGAACATGAATTCACGTTTCATATATTTTTCTTATGTTCTTATCACAATGCTAATGAGTTTTTGTACGTTAAAACAAAGCAGATGTATTTTCTTCCTTTCTTTAATACCTTTACTCGTAAGGAACTAAATAATTACTTATGCATGACTGATTGGATTAGGCAGAGTTAGAAACTGGCAACAAAATACTGCATGTAATGTTGACAGGAGTATTATAGCATTATATAAGGACACTAATAAATATATATTACAGTGTTGTAAGTAGCTCCATACAACAAAGAGTATGAAAGCAGAGGAAGAGCTTAATAAATCCTACTGTACAAAGAGAGACCATTCCAGATCCCTATCAACAAGAAAACACACAGCGGGACGCTGACCTCCATGCTGCTCCCTTAAGGCAGCAGGGACTAAACTAACACTCCGGACACACACCCAGAGTTGACACTAGTTGTGAAGAAGCTGAATCTTACCAGAGAGAAGCAGAACAGGTTCATGTTTGAAGGTCTGCGCCAAAGACAATGGTCTGTGGCCTCTGGAAACACACTTTCACACACTGGCTGTCACCCACACTCCCTAACACACCCCTGTGATGCAGCCCTGATGCTGTCCACAGTCCAATGGCCTAATCCTTTTTTCAAATCCCTCCGATAATCCAATAGAAGCAGAGAGCCCTCTCTCCAGCCTCAGAGAGAGCCCAAACAACAATAACAGGCCGCCTTTGTTTGCTGTGTGTCTGAAATGATTATGATAATGACTTGACTGAGATTAAGTCATCACTGAGCTTTAGACTTCTGTTGACTGATCAATCATGAGGAACAGGTCAGTCACGTGTTGTCCAATGTGTTTTATGTGTTAAAGCTAAGGTTTACATAATACAGTTTGTCATCTGTCCAGGAATCATTTTAATCCTGGCTTGTCCATTGTTCTCTAAACATATGGATTTGACAGTTAGAGTAAATTGCATTGCATTACATCATTTCTATGGTGAGTATATCATTTGTATCTGTTTCGAGATGTTACTCTTCATGTGTATATAAATATGTGTTCTATTTTATTTGTTATTTAATTGTTGTATTCCCTTCTTACACTTCTTATGTCAATTTTATTATATTTGTATTTCTTATTTATGTTTTATTTATTACATTCTAAAATGAGCAACTATCACATTTCCAGTACTGTATGTTGCATGTTTTTATTGGTTGTATTTACTTGTTTAAAATGATATTTGTCTTTAGGGTGACTTACAAAATCTGTCCAGGGACTGCAGATGAAAAATTACTTCTTGGTTAACTTTACAGAAATGTTGATTAACGTTCACTGTCCCTAATTAAATGAATACATGAATACAAAATAAAGTAAACCTCAGTAAGTATCTGTTTCTGATTCTTTTGAACCAGTGTATGTTTCCACAGAAACATGTACCTGTCTCTTAGTGATACATCACACATACTCTTTCCCTAACTTAAACCAACAATATTATGATTATTACAGATGTGAAGGTGAATGTGAATCTTTTCCTTGAAATTAGATTGGCTTGACCATGTATTCCTATTGTAGAACAAGGCAAGGCAAGCTTTACAATTTGTCACAAATTGTAAAGCACTTACTCATCACTGTACCCTGTATGCCAAGGCAGGTTTGCCATCACTTACTGTAAAGAGGCTCAGTCATTGGCATGTTTATTTATAAAGCTTTGTTGGGTAAACTCCCGTATTATATCTGCTCTCTGATAACACAGAGAGTTGCAAGCAGCTATTGTCTGAGATCGCATGATGTAGTATTGTTAGATGTGCCAAGAGCAAGGACTGTCTTAGGTAAGATAGCTTTTATGTGCGCAGCTCCACTTGCTTGGAACAATCTTCAGCAAGAATTGAAACTGAGCAATCTCATTCCTCTGCATGTTTTTAAAGCTAGGCTAAATGAAATGCTTGTTGATACTATCGGCACTTGTAAATGTCTATAACTATGTAAATGTATCCTGTAAATATAATGTATAATGTCCTTTATTGTTTTATGTTTCATGTGGAACCTAAATGCTGCAGGTCTCCCTTGAAAAAGAGATCTATGATCTCAAGGGACCAATCTGATTAAATAAAGGTTTGAAATTAAATGAAATGAAGTTTATTTATATAGCACCTTTCAACCATAGAGCTTTCAACACAAGGCAATTCAAGGTGCTTTACAAAAATGAAAGACATTCAGACAAAGGCATTTAAAAATAATCATTAAAAAGAAAAGATAATAAAAGAAACATTAAAAGAAAAACTACATGAATAAAAAAGTACATGAATAAAAAGTTACAGTGCAGTTTAAGATATGAATAGTTCACACAGAAGTTCCACTTTACTGATGAACACAACGGCTCAGTTTCAATTAAAAGCAGCGACAAAAAGATAAGTCTTCAGCCTGGATTTAAAAGTAGTCAGAGTTGCAGCGGACCTGCAGGTTTCTGGGAGTTTGTTCCAGATATTTGGAGCATAATAACTGAACGCTGCTTTACCATGTTTAGTTCTGACTCTGGGGACAGAAAGCTGACCAGTCCCTGAAGACCTGAGAGATCTGGATGGTTCATAATTTAGCAGAAGATCAGAAATGTATTTTGGGCCTAAACCATTCAAAGCTTTATAAACCAGCAGCAGTATTTTGAAATCTATTATTTGACACACAGGAAGCCAGTGTAAAGACTTCAGAACAGGAGTGATGTGATCCACTTTCTTAGTGTTAGTGAGGACTCGAACAGCGGCGTTCTGAATCAGCTGCAGCTTTCTAATATATTTTTTAGTGAGACCTGTAAAGACACCATTACAGTAGTCCAGTCTACTGAAGATAAAAGCATGGACAAGTTTTTCCAAATCCTGCTGTGACATTAGTCTTTTAATCCTAGATATGTCCTTTAGGTGATAGTAAGCTGATTTAGTAATTGTTTTAATGTGACTGTTGAAACTCAGGTCAGAGTCCATGACTACACCTAGATTTCTGGCTTCGTCTGTTGTTTTGAACATTGCAGACTGAAGCTCAGCGCTAACCTTTAAACGTTCTGCCTTGGCTCCAAAAACCATTACCTCAGTTTTATCTTTGTTTAATTGGAGAAAGTTCTGAAACATCCAATCATTGATTTGTTCAATGCACTTACTCAGTGTTTTAACTGGAGAATAGTCTCCTGGTAAAATGGTTATGTAAATGTGTGTCTCATCCGCATAGCTATGGTAACTTATTTGTTGTTTTTCATTATCTGAGCCAGTGGTAGCATGTAGATGTTAAAGAGAAGAGGCCCCAGGATGGAGCCTTGAGGAACCCCACATGTCATATTTGTCAACTCAGATTTGTATTTACCTATAGAAACAAAGTTGTTTCTGTCCTTTAAGTAGGATTCAAACCAATTTAGAACTGTTTCCGAAAGTCCCACCCAGTTTTCCAGTCGGTCTAGTAATATGTTGTGGTCAACAGTGTCAAACGCAGCACTGAGATCTAATAATACTAACACTGAAGTACTGCCACTGTCTGTGTTTGAGTGGATGTCATTGAAGACCTTTACAAGAGCAGTCTCAGTGCTGTGGTTTGGACGAAAGCCTGACTGGAACACATCCAAACAGTTATTTAAATGCAAGAAATTACTCAACTGTTGAATAACTACTTTTTCAATGATTTTACCTAGAAATGGGAGGTTTCATATGGGCCTATAATTGTTCATTACAGCAGCATCTACTGTAGATAATGCTTTTTTAAGAGCGGTTTAATGACTGCAGTTTTCAGGGCCTGTGGAAAAACACCTGAGTGAAGAGACTTGTTTACTATATGAAGTAGATCTGAGGCCATGCAAGGAAAAACATTTTTGAAAAACCCTGTTGGAATAATATCAAGGCAGCAAGAGGAGGATTTCAGAAGTTGAATAATGTCCTCTAGGTTTTTATCATTAATCTGATGGAATTGTGTCATGGTGTTTGAATTGATTTTAAGTGGACACAGAGACAAAACATTTGCTGTTTCTGATGCAGAGGCACTGACTGCTTGTCTGATTTTCTGAATTTTGTCAGTGAAGGAGGATTCATTGCACGCCCTGGTGCTGACACTGGGGGATTAGTTAGTCTGTCGACGGTAGCGGACAAGGCACGTGCGTTGTTTTTGGCAATTATGTCAGAGAAGAAAGACTGTCGGGCAAATTTCAATTCTAAATGATCAAGGCCAAGTCTCTCTTTATAGATTTCAAAGTGAACCTGGAGATTTGTTTTTCGCCACCTGCGTTCAGCTTTTCGACAATCTTTTTTCTCTGTTCTCACGGTCATGGCCTTTCTCCATGGAGATATTTTCTTCCCAGTCACTTCCTTTACCCTAGTTGGAGCAATGGCATCTATAACATTTTACATTTTTGAATTAAAATAATCTACTAGCTAATTTACTGAGATGTTAGCAGGGGCAAGTGTGGAAGAAAAATTCTCAGTAAACATTTCCCTAGTATTTTCAGTTAAATATCGCTTTGTGGTTACCTCTTTTTGAACATTTTTGTGAACAGAAATAGAGCTCTCAAAGAAAACACAGGAATGATCAGAGAGTGCAACATCAGTCACCACAACCTTAGAGATATTCAGACCCTTTGAGATAATTAAGTCCAGAGTGTGCCCCTTATTACCCCGCACCCTACCTGCACCCCAAACAAATATTATCTGTATTGCATATTGCATATATAATGTAACATGTATTCATTCATAATAAGAATCATTTTTGTTAGAAAGACCTCAAATGAAACAGTTATTTGATTGTGTTCAGCCTTTTTTTTTATTTGATATGATATGTCTTTAACTTGTAACACCCAGGGCTACAATTCCCTTGACATTTAGCCAACAACTTCAACTGACTGTCACAAGTTGACTGTTTCCTTAAACTCTGTGATACGTTGAAAAATTAACAAACAAAATAACAAACAAGACTACGAGACCACTGTTGTGCAGTAACAATTATGTGCAATTTGTAAATTAAAGAATCTATTTTGAATGTAACTTTAAAAACAATTCTAATTTGTATTGTAATATGTATTGTGCATGCCCTTTTATTTTATCTCATAATGTTTGTCTTTTTTGTCTCTATCTTCACTTTTTCTGTAACAATTTAAATGTCCCCTTTGTGGGGACGAATAAAAGTATTCTGATTCTGATTCTGAAAAATATAGTTTTTTGTTGTTGACATAGCCAAAAGAATCCAAGACATAGAAAAAGGTAGAGTTTTAATTTTTTGTTATGGCTGAGTATTACATTATATCTGAAATGGCAACAAGTATTGTTAAGTTTTATCATATAGAAATATTTTAGCCATTTTCATCTTGTAACTGTGGCCGCCTGTACTGCCCTCTACAGGTTGGACAGAAATACATCATTATACAAACTCAGCAGGCCTCACTTTAATCCATATGTTCCAAACGTTAAATCAGCGAAAAGGAAATAAAAAAAGTCTCTGTTGTTGGATTTTGTGTTCAGGTAAGACTAAGACATTCAAAATGGCAAGCTGCCAGATAGATTCGTAGGAGTTATCAGCCTGCATTTATTAAACATAACGTATACATCAGTGGCGAGCCGTCAGGGCCCTCTAGGCCCTC